ATTTTTCAGAAAATATGACAGTGACACTGTACATCTATGTTTTTGCTAAATTAATTTGGCAAACAAAACCCTCATAGTCATTTTTTCCAGTGGACCCACCAATGGAAATAGTTGTTCTTTATAACTTAAGAACAGAGATATGGTTAATTCACAGTCTTGAACACTCAAAGACCTGTACCTTACATAGTCAAATTAAGAAATTGCTATAATGTGTCTGTAATTGGTCATACCCAACCCACAGAACCCCAATCTGAAAAATTGCCTATTTATAAAATCTTGCTTGCTATTATTCTCTGAAAAGAAAATCTGCTTTTTTTATAGAAAGGCTTCAGAACAAAAATCACAATGTGCTCACTAGTACTGAACAAAGGAGAAGGATTAAATTACCAAAACATTTAAATATATTTCCAAATTCTGGCCAGGGTGAAGGCATTTACTTTTGGCAGGGTCTCATGCAGATATTTTTAGGCTGCAATCTTCATGAAGAGTGTGCATATCTATGTATAAAAGAATAATATTCAGATTAATTTGGGGGTGTAGAATTTTTACTGCATCTAAATCTGTTCACTTGATCTTAATTTACTCAGCTTGAAGTTGAAGCAGGATCCTGATTCAGTTTTCACTACTAAATTACATACATAAATCTGAACATACTCTAAATTCAGGACCAGACTTTGTGGCTTAGGTATATTATTGCTTTAAATACCAACAGAAATCATTATGAGAACACAGAACACAGAAACACATGATCCATCTGAGTCAGTTATTCCTTGAAGGAATATTTTATATTAAAAAATCCCTTCAGAATAATATCTGAGAGATTGGATGAAAGAAAACATAAGGATTCTCTTTTGCATGTTGCTTAATTACCCCTGCTTCACGCCAGAAAAATTAACTATTCCCTTTAGGATGTGATCTGCAATGCGAGCTATGCTAATCATGAAGGCTACTGGAGCTGATCTTTAAGGCATGACTACAAATTTTTTTTCTGAATTCAGAAAAGCAGAAATTGAAATCAGATGCATCTTGGATCTCTAAAGGTTTAATGATGAGTTTAATAAATAGTTAATAAAGTGACTATTTATTATAGTTAATAGAAGGCATTGCTACCCACTTTATATTTTCACTTACCCTTTTTTTAAGTCTGTGTACCTTGCAAGTCCGCCTTGAGGAGACTGCACAACTGCCTTATCTATAAATTCATAAAGATGCTTATAGATTTGTCATTGTATCTATTTTTGCATCATTAATTGGTGCATAGGTGTCCTGACTGTTTCCAGTCCCAGTGAACTCTAATAGCACCTTACATTTGGTACTCTGATAAGTTTAGAGGTCAAATATCTCTCCAGAAAGGTTCCATCATTGCAAAGAAAAATGAGAAAAGCAGCAATGCTGCAAGTAGCTGAGCTATAGCTCAGCTAGAAACTACTGTCAATCTTCCTTTGCATTTAAAAGAATTTTCTTTGCCAAAGACAAGAGTTGGAAAACAGTGATTGTTAGAGAAATTAAAATACATATTATGCATTGGTGGTTTGATATGAATACTTCAACAAGAGTTAAAAACTGACTCTAAGGTACTCAAATGTTTGCAATAAGAAATCGTATTTGCCTGGAGAGTTTATGGAGTCTCCCTCACTGGAGATAACCAAGAACCATTCAGACACTCTCCTGTGCAGTATGATCTGGAATGAGCCTGCTTGTGCAGGGAAGTTGGACCAGGGAAGTTCGACCACTGTGCTCCCTTCCAACCTGACTCTGTAATTCTGTGATCCTAGCAGGAAATTTCTAATGCACAAATGCAAAGGCTTTTGAAATTCAGTGAGAAAAACTGTAGAGTAAAGAAAGTTTTAAGACAGTGGCCAAATCATGCATGTATAAATAAATCTATTCAGAAGAAACATTATGCCATCCATTTGAAGTAAAAGAGACAAATGTCATTTCCAACATAAAATGGATGCAGTAAAATATACAGTAAATATTTTTTTTTAAATATTTTAAATTCTGTACATTTTTTAATTTGCATATTTCAATCTATTGATAGATGAAGTTACTATGCCTGGGAGCTGGCCCACTGAGTTTCCATGCATTACTACAGTATAAGCAGAACAACCAAGTAATGAAATGGAGTATTCTGGAATTCACACAACAGGCTGGGGAACTATGGAGAGACCCAGCTGCCAGTGGAATATTAATCAACAACATTTTTCCTTCATTTTTACCTTGGTGTATCCTGTAAAATGAAAACCAAAAAAAAATTTCAATTTTTAAAATCTGCTCTATTCTACTTCATAGAAGTCTTGTGGTCACATAATAGGCATCAGACAAGTTTAATAGGAAACAGGCTAGACTTATTCAGTTAATCTGATTTTACCGTTGCTATTCTCAATCTTTTCTCTGTGTGTCGCAGAAAAAAATAATAGAAGTAACATGGTTCTTGTTCATTGTAGTATCCTCTAAAATAGAAATAAATTCCTCAATATTACATCATTAAGAATGATTATTATTCTAAAACAGTTGATTTTCTATGGGTGTGCATTGAGGCATTTTTGTGTCTTTATTCAAACACTTGTATATTTTCTGCACTAAAGGCTGCTTCTATATTAACTACAAAAAGTACAGACTTTTTACTAATGAAGTCAGTCCTATGGAAAATTATCAAATCTCCACATTATGATTTTTCATTTTGTATTTTAAAGAAATAAAAAATGCAGTATCTTTTATAGCAAAAGTTTGATTTCTTTTTCCTACAAAAATCAACAGAATGAGCAAGAGGAAATTAACACCCCACTCTCTTCTACTATTGAAAGTATACGCTAAAATAAAATATTCTATCTCTAGCACCGTATCATCACCTCTCTGTAAATGGATATATTTAAGAGATACATTTAATTAAATTTAAGTCAATGAAAGTATTCTTATTTCCTTTAGTCACTTTATATAAGGCTCAAAACCATTTGTTTATACTGTTTCACTTTTATTGTACATTTAACACATCCAGTTTACACTTAGAACATGATTGATTGCAACTAATATTAGCCTTTTTAAGTGTTAGGAACTTAGGATGCCTCTGTGGTCAGTTAAGACACCTGTCCAGGATAAACATTGCAGAAAGACTAGATATGCTTGTCTCTTGCTATAAATACCAATGAAGCCTAGATAGGTATTTGTCACTAGATTTGTGGCAAGTAAAAAGCTATTAAATGGATCCCAACTGTTGATTTTAGGGTCTTCTGCATATTTAGAAATGACATATCCAGATCCCCTAAACATACAGCCCAAATTTCATACCTCCTTAGTAAATTGTACATTGATGATGGAGAGCACCGAAATATTGAGTAGATAATCTGCTGTACATGCTAAAAAAAGCATCTTATTATTCCTAAAGATGGTCTTTTGATTAACATGCTAGACAGAGACTCAAGCAATCCTTACATTCACAGACAGCTTCACTGAACAGGAAGAGCCTTTTGTTCATCTTTAAAGCAGTGTTTTAAAAGAATTTCCCTTCCCTCTTTCCATTTCTTTTAACACAGAGCTCCTTGAAAACTCAAATCCTTTGGCTTGTGGAAATTTTTATTAGTGCCTATTAAATTAGAACCAATCACACTTGGTAATATATTATCATGCATAGTTATATTAACATGTTCTCTGTTTTTCAGATATAATTTAAAAATTATGTTGAAATATCTACATTTATTCATTAAAATTAGGATAGAAGTCATCTTCTATACAACACATATTTTGATATTAAAGCACACAGCCAATGCTCCTCAATTCTGTAATAATACATTACTTTTTCATTTTTTTTTTCTTTTTTTTTTTTTTTTTTGTTTCCAGAGTGGTAAAGATTAACACCCTTTTTTTCAGAAAAAAGAATCAGAATAGCAAGTGCCAATGATGTATGAAATGAAAAAAAATTCCAGTCCAATGTGCAGACAGAATATAGACAATGTTAGGTATTCTTAAACATTCTTCGACATCCACAAGGAAAAAAAAAAAACTCAGTGTGGAGGAAAAAAAAAGAATATAAGCCAGAACACTTAAAGAGACAACCAAAGCCCATTGTAGTCACAGAAAAAGACTCTTATTAACCTCTGCAAACTTTGGATGTAGTGATTTTAGATGGCTTCTTTGAAGGGGCTATCTTTTTTTTATCCCTTCTGTCTGACTTCTTTCTTTGAATCTTTAAAGCTTCTTGCAGTCATACAGCTCTAATACCAATGTTCCTTTAGACCCTTTATTTCAAATCACCTTCAACTGGAATATATATACAAGAAATTTCATAGGAAAATGACATAATCATAGAAAAGTCCAGGTTAGAAGGGAGCTCTGGGATCAGATATTCACCTTTCTGTTGAAAGGAGGCATTAAATTAGACGATTCATGGCTCTGTCAAAACTGTCTTGAATATTTCCAGCAAAGAAATTGAACCACTCCTCTGGGCAATTTATTGCAGTATTTTGTTATTTCCACAGACATGATTATGTTTCTTATATCCAATTGGGATTTTCCCCTGAATAAACTCATGCATGTAGTCTTGCCACCATATATTCTTGCAAAGGAGGTATCCCCATCTTCACAGTAGTTATGTTCTAGGTGCTAAAAGGCAGTGATTAGACTCACACATGTCCATCAGCAACCTCCTCTCATGAGGAATGAAGCCACTTTCTCCAACATTTTCATGCATCAAGTTCTTCAGTCCTTTAATATCAGAGTGCTGGGGCCTCACTGGGCCCTTTCCAATATTATGCTTTTTCCTCTTATTTGAGCTGGGGGAAGCCACAGCTAGACACATTTTTCCAGGTGTTGCCAATGATGTTGCAAGTAGAGTGGACTAACCACACACCTTTATCTGCTGGATTTTATTTTACAGATGCAGCACAGGTTTGCCTTCCTTGCTGCCCTTCCACACTGCTAATCAATGTCCATTTTACTGTCCACAGAGGCACTTCAGCAGAGCTATACCTCAATCTGTATTTCCTTTGGGGACTATTCTCCGGTGTAGTACTTTCCATATACCATTGTTAAACCTCATAAAAGTATTTCTATCCCAATCTTCCAGCCCATTGCAGTGTCTCCATGCAGTGGATTGTCTTTGCAGTGAATCTGCCTTCCCTCACAATCTGATGAGGCCTGCAGTCCTTTTTAGGAGGCATAGAGTCCTGTAATCCAAATATTTTACAAGGATTTTGAATAGCATTTGACCTAGTATTGATCCTTCTATGGGAAAAACCTTTTCTGAAAATGCTGGTTTTTTTCACATCATGAGGATCAAAGAAAGCAGAAACCATTTTATTCTGATGGAATAATGGCCAAACACAAAATCCAGAGGAATGAATGGGGACATCTACATGATACATCTGGTGTGTTAGAGAGGGGTGTTTGGTGGCAATTTGCTAGTATCCATGCTCACAGGCCTGCACCATGCACGCCAGGGCACCACTGATATGCTCAGAGCAGTTTCACTGCCAGCAGAACCAGCGCTGAAGCCACAGGGCAGGGAGTCACTTAAAGCTCCTCACTTGGCCCAGGGATGCAAGGTTCTCCAGCTGCTCTTTCCATGTGTGCATGGCTTGTGCTAGGGCCAGGATCTCGTGCAAAATGTGTTGCTAATAACTCCATGATGGTCCTGGAACCATAGCAGACCATGTTAAATCAAGTGTTTGACCTTCCTTCCCTGCACTGCACCTGGCAATATTGTATATGCATCCACAAAGGACTATTGGATTCACTATAATTTGATTGGGCTGAAAAGACCTAGAGTAATCCTGACTAAAAATCAGGAAATCTTTATTTCTTCCAGACTGTCTTAGATTCTTCTGCATAAAATACCTACTATTTGCTCAAGTAGATGAACTGTAAACCATTCAGAGCTAATGTAGCCCTGAAAATATTGTATTGCTGTCCACACTGCCTAACTCTTCAGGACCTCAGGAGTAAAATTGCCCAATTGATCTTGGCCTGCCTAGAGACAAAACTTGTTTGTTTCCTTACAACAACTAGGTTGAATACTACCTAACTCATTCTAGCTCCAGCTGAATTTTCTGCTATTATTGCACCTCTTCTTATAATATTTTTTGTAAAAATTCTGTAACAAATAGATCTTCACAGCAAGTAGGTGGTTTTTTTATAACTCTAGAATAAAAATGAAATGCAGAAAATGACAAGTGTAAGATGTTAGCAAAGGCTTTGAAAATAGGGACACTACCTGACCCTTCAAGCATGTAACATCTAAAAAATTATCAAATCTTGGTCAACAGTGTAATACTGTCTTGAATAATTTCCTTCAAGAAACAGCTAAAAGACTTTCACCCTGAGTGAAGGTACCTCACTACACCCATTAAATTAGCTCAGATCTTATATTCTCAATTTCTTAGGTTTGCTCCGTGGGAAAGTACTCTAGAGATCCTGAAAAGCTCTTTAAGGCTTTGGATCTTGAGTAACTTGAATCATAGAGCATTTGAGCTGGAAAAGACTTCTGATGGCCATTTAATCCAATGACCCTGCAATAACAAGGGACATCTCCCACTAGATTAGATTGCTTGGAGCCCCACCTACCCTGATATTGAATGGTGCCAAGTATGGCCATCTGCCACCTCCCTGGGAAAACTCTTCTGGTGTTTTACTGTACTCATGATAAAAAATTTCTTACTTCTATCTAATCTGAATCTACCCTCTTTCAGTTGTAAACCATTATCCCCTGTCATATGGCAACAGGCCCTACTAAAATCTCTGTCCTCATCTTTCTGAAGTACTGAAAAGAAAAAAATAT